AGAGAACCTAAATGCCAAATTCTCATCTGCTGCCGAATAGAGGCCCAGTAAGAGCTTGCATTTCCTTTCCTTCTTTCTAGCATCTCCTGGTAAATGCTCAGTAATGAATTTTCTCACCCTCATTTGGTTGAAAAAGGAGAAATGCATCCCCCTGCTTAATCATGTGGGACTAAACTACCAGACGATTACAAGAATATTGCTGAGCCATGAGCAGAGAGAAAATAAAAAAGCTCAATAATGATTTGCCTGCTTATTTTTAATAAAGCCTGCCAGTGGAGCTGAATCTTTGTCCTCAGGAGAAGCTCCACTTTAATGCAGTGGTGTCTGAGAGCTGCGGGAGAAGCACAGCGGTGTGACCTTGAGAACAGAGCTGGCGGGAGGACAGCTCCCGCAGAGGCCCTGGCAGCTGTTGCAAGGCAGGGGGACACAGGAGGAGCTCCCGGCTCTTCCACCGGCCCACCTGCAGGGCTGCTGGGATGCCCCGTGCCACCACTCCTCTCAGGCTGAGTGGGAGTGCTCGGTTGGGTGGCTGGGGGTGGGTTCTGCCTATCTTTTATGGTTGGGGCATTGAGAAAGCCAGGTGGATGTAGTGTGCAAACTCTCCATTTGCAGGTTCCAGCACCTTCTACCCTGGACAGTTGTTGAGGGCAGCTATGGGCTAAGGAAGAGGCCTTTGCTCTTTAGAGGGGAGAAGAGCTTAGCATAGGGCAGCCCCTTACCCACCCAGCTCCTTTATGTGATGCCATTGGCAGAGGCTGGGCAGAAATGGACAAGGGGAACTCCTTTTAACAAGCTCTGCCTTGGGTCTACAGACACTTCCCCGGAGACAAAGCATGCAGGCCAAGGGTCTCAGATACCACTGCAGGGGTGTAACACACATTACCCTGGCAGGCATGATGAGAACAGGGCGGGTAGGCTTAGGGGGCTCTGAGGTGGGGGAAAAGGCTTCAGCTCTGAGAAATGAGAAAAACGAGCCTAGAGGAATAGTATAAAGTCATTGCCTCTTGCAGCAAAGCACGAGTGAGTCCTTCATCCAGTTCAGCCCTCTGTTGGGGTACTGGGCCTCAGATGTTTAACCCTCACTTTCTGAGCCCTCCTTGTGCCCCACAAAGCACCTCCAGGCACCCCAGTGACCAGTTTCTGACCTTCCAGACTGGATCAAGCCCCTCCGCAGTGGGAAAAGGCCCCCAGTTCTGACTCGGCCTGGCAGGGGCTGTTCCCTAGAGTGCCCACAGCAGTGTCAATAGTGACCTGGCAGAATCCCAAACCCGGCGTGACCTCTCAAGGAGGACCTAGATACGAACTGAGCACATCCCAGCCCCACTCAGTTCTGACCCTGGGCCAGGAGCTGCCACCTTATTGCCCGTTGTGTGAAATGGGAACGACATGAATGCTGCCCAGAGTTGAGGTCTGGGAGGTATAGTGCCCAGTGTTCCTGCACGCTTCAGGGGGCAGGTGCCACATCTCCTCTGTTTACTGTTCTCATGTCAATTCTGTGTCTAACTCAACCCCTACTTTGTGCCCGGAACATGCTCTGTAAATGCTCGGGTCACGTGTTGCCTGTTATGGTGACTGTGGGAATGCATAGAAAATATTGGCACTGGCTAGGACCCGACACCTAAAAGCTCCTTCTGCACAGTCCCAGTAGAAAACGTTTTTGGGGACGTTTTCCTGCCACCTAGACCGTGAGCCAGTACTAATCAACTGCCAGCAGCTGGTGTCCCAAGGAGGGGCACCTTGGCATTAGAGGGCGTTGCTGGGATTTCTAAGTTCTTCAGCTACTCCATGAATTTCCTGTGCCCTTAGTGGCTTTTTGGGATTCCGCTTTCTCTCCTCTCTGTGCTTGGAGGCCCCAGGGAAGAACCTACTGGGAGAATAGACTCAGTGTCTTCCCGTCCATTTCCCCGCCCTGCTCCCTGATGTGCACCCCTTTCCCTAAGGTGCAAGATGCAAAGCGTTGCTGCTTAGGGAAGTGACCAGCAGGCCCTGGGATGCCTCTTTCCCGGGAGGCAGTAACTTTCCACTGCCTCGCAAAACAGAGGATGTCACGTTCTCCCCAATTGCATCCACCTCTTGCTAGTTCAGGGTTGCCCCACTTTTCCCTCTGTGGTTCTCAGCCAGGTACTTGTGGCCTCATGGCCTCAGAGCTGATCCTCCAGGCGTGGGAGGCCCCCCACTTCTCACCTTCATGTGAAATTTAAGGGGAGAGGTAAAGTAGTCAAAATGCTCTTTATAGCCTAATTTCTATCAGAAGCTGAAAAGACTGCTTCCAGGTAAAATTAGAAGAGATCTTGGGCACATATCTGCACACCCTAGAGATGTTCTTTTAAAAATGGGGCTATTCTGACACCAGCTGGTACCCTACAAATCACTTCTGGCACTGACCATCCCAAGTAGGCATGGTGGTCAGTGTTCTCCAACAAGTCATGGTCCCCAAGACTGCCCCCACTTCAATTACCAGTGCAAGTAGGGTCCCAAGGACACCTGCACTTCTGACCAACTGGTGACAAATCCCAGATTCTGTGACATCCCGTCTTAGGTTCACTAATTCACTGGCATATCTCACAGAACTCCAGAAAGCATTATGCTTATGATTACAGTTTTATCATAAAGGTGACAAATAGGGCCAGCCAGATGAAGAGACATACAGAGTGAGCTTTGGGAGGGTCTAAATTCATGCCCTCTCCCTGTGGAATCAGGGCATGTCACCCTGCCCAGCACATCAGTGTGTTTGTTCACTAGCCAGGACACCCCACCAAGCTTTGGGTGTCGAGTTTTTGGTTTGTTTGTTTTTGAGACTGAGTTTCGCTCTTGTTGCCCTGGCTGGAGTGCAATGGCACAATCTTGGCTCACCGTAACCTCTGCCTCCCGGGTTCAAGCAACTCTCCTGCCAAGTAGCTGGGATTACAGGCATGCATCACCACGCCCGGCTAATTTTGTGTTTTTAGTAGAGACAGGATTTGTCCATTTTGGTCAGGCTGGTCTCAAACTCCTGACCTTAGGTGATCCACCTGCCTCAGCCTCCCAGAGTGCTGGGATTACAGGCATGAGCCACTGCACCTGGCCAGGTGTAGAGTTTTTATTGGGGTTTCATTATGTAGGCATGATTGATTGACTCACCAGCCACATGATTGAACATAGTCTCCAGCCTCTCCCCCGTCCCTGGAAATTGGATTGGCTCAAAGCCCCAGTCTTCCTATCCCATTTTTGGCCTTTTTGGCATGACCAACCCCTATGTGGACGCTATCTAGGGGGCTCCCATGAGTTGCTGCATTAGCATAAACTCAGGAGTGATGGAAGAGGGCTCAGGAATAACAAAGAAACTCTTATGAGGAGATTCCAAAGATTTAGAGTCTTCCCAGGAACTACGAATAAAGATGAGTCAAATTCTTTATTATACAACGGTGGTGATACATATGTTTTCTCCATCTGATACTCTGGAAACTGCCTTACCTAGCTCAGTTACCTGCTGCCTCCTTACGCTTTTAAGCATTTCCCGTGTGCCTTGTACTTTCATTACCTGATTTAATTCTTATTACAGCCCCTGAAGTCTTTGATATTAATATACCCATTTTCAAATGAGGAACTGAGGTCCTAGGATGGTGATCACCTCAAGGTGACACAGATGAAAAGTACCCCAGTAGGGGGTACAATCCAGCTAACCAAATCTGGGTTAAAGATGGCGACTTCTGAAGTTAGCCCAAACAGTCTGTCAGACGCTCCTGGGTAGATGGTCGTCTTTCCCCTTGCAAATGCTGGCTGCTGGGAGCTGATTGCACTGGTCTGTTACGTGGTGCACTGTTGAGACTTCAAAGCTGGTAATGGGCCTTTGCCAAGGGGCCCTATTGGCTTGTCCTGCTCCCTCCAGGGAGTAACCAGCCACTCCACCAGGCACAGCTTGTGGCTCTCCCGCCAGCCTAGGAAATGGGAATAGGCAGAGCCCTCGGGCGGGGGCACTTTTGCTTTGCCTACCAGCTCTACCTGTCCACCTGCAGCCCAGTGCAGAGAGGGCTCTAAGCCAGCACAGCTGGGCACATCCCCCACTGAGCCTCCCAGGGCCATGGCAGAGACACGATGGGACAGTCCAGAGAAGCATCCATACAGGGCCCATCCTAATGAATGTCCCTGACTGCCCTCTTCCCCCACCCCAGATGGTTAGAAACACAGCAGCTGGCATTTCTGTCACTGCCAGTCCCCAGGAGAGCTACACAGGGTAAGGTCAGAAGCCAAATTCTACAGTTTGGGAAATTAGCGGCAATTTGTGGGATTCCCGGGAGACATCCTGGTTTCTCTCAGCCATGCCAGTGGTTCTCAGTTGGGGTGTCACTGTCCCTACAGGGCATTTACAGATGTGTGAGTGAGTCCACAGTTGTCACAGTGACTGGAGATCCTCCTGGCATTTATCCAGTGGGGTCCGGGGTTGCTAAACATCCTGCAGTGAGCTGGACAGTCAACATACACGAAAAATAGTCCTGTTCATGAGAGACACTGGGAAATGACATTTGCCTCCCTGCCCCTGGTTCCTTAGAAAGCCACTGTCCCCACCAGTCTTCAGGCTAAATTAATAGGAAATAAAGAGCAGGCTTCCGTCCCAGTGTATGACCAACAACGAGGCATACGTGGGCAGGCACGAAGGAGCCTCCTCTTTTGCACCCACCTAACCTTGATTCTTCATAGAGGGTTCTTGCATCAGCTGGGTTCTCCTGGGTCAAGGAAGACCTGGATGTGGGTGGTAGAAATTCATGGGGCAGTGAGACAGCTCCTCCTTGGCGGCACCCTGGTGCCTGGCACGAACAGCCCTCAGCCCACCTGGTATAGAGATTTGGTGGCCTCACCACGGGGTCCCAGGCAGATGCCTAGCTCCCACTTCTGTATTTCTGCTACTTGGCCATTCCTCTATATTTTTTGGTTTTGTTACCTGTTTTCTTCAAATGCAGTGTGTTTAGAAGAGCCTAGCTCAGAGGCCATGACTGAACACCTCTCTCCTTGTTGTTTTGCAGTCGGGAAGACGTCTCTGATTACAAGGTTCATGTACGACAGCTTCGACAACACATACCAGGTGAGGTCCCCAGTGCTCCCCTCCATGTCACCTGACAGCGGCCAGCCTCTGAAATGTGCTGAGCTGGCATGGGAGTAGAACGGCCATGGGTTCCCAGGGTGTCATTTTGCCATGGGGGAGCTTCCCACTTCTGTACTGGCCCCATCCCTGTAAAGAGCTTGAGCCCTTCTGAAAATTCACACCTCAGTAAAGGAAACATTTTCCAGAGGAAAATTCTAAAAATAGAGAGTCTGTGTTCTCTTGCTCCTCACAGGCAGGTAACCCATGATAGTGTCTGGCTATTCAGGAGAGTCATCATGTGGAGGAGGAACAAGATGGAAAATGAGAGTGTTAGGCGAACTTGCGCTTCAAGCATGGTTGTGATGGTGGTGTTTGCTAGGACCTCTGTCTCTGTCACACACAACACACACACGGTTGCTGAGGAGAGGCTTCCTGGAGAGCTGGTGTGATGAGTTTGTCCAGCCCTGCATGGGCAGAAGGCTGGGTACAGTGACCTCTGCAGCTCCTGGCTCTATAGGGATGGTCTAGGGTCAACCAGAGACCCAGAGGTAGCTCCAGGTGGCCTGAAGGCCAAGCTCTTGGGGGTTAGTATACATGTCACTTTCCTGGTACCACTGGTGAGTAGGGAGTTTTGTGCAAGTAAAGTGAATTTTCCATGCAACTATAGCTTTTTGCAGAAGGCACCAAACTTAATTGTTATAACTCTTTTAAAGAAAAAAGGATGCCATTTTCTTCCTTAGATAGAGACAAATGATAATGCATTTTTCTATGCCAGTGGATTGTGTGAGATACTAGTTCCAAGAGGCGTTAGTAGGTGTTACTTAGAAAAAAAAAGCGGTGGTGGGTTCAGAGCTTGTACAGATTTAGGGAACACTGGGTGAACAAAAGTAAATCTACTGCTATACTGCAGGGTTTCTCAGAGCCTGACTCTTATCAGCGTATGGTTTTGATTTGCTAAAAGAAGGATGTAGTGTGTAGGATCTCCCAGATGTATTTGATTATGGAATCCCTTGGTCATCGAGTTCTCAAAGGGCAAATATTTATAGAACACACCAGGGACTGCTGTTGTAAGATGTCCCTCTCCCTTTCTGGATTTCCAGAGTATGTGAAGCGCAGCTCACTGCAGATGACAGCTCTGTGTCTACTTTTTAGTCTGTCTTTCTCCCTCTGGACCAGTTATCCTCCTTGCCTTAAATACAGCCCCTCTGTCTGCCTCTCTCTAATTTTTACTCTTTCTCTGCTATGGTCTCAGTTTTTACTTTACCTCTGTTTCTCTGCTGGTCTGAAATACTGGCTAGCCAGTGGACTTGATGGAAATGACTGTAAGAATTGTCACGAGGCTGTGGGAGAGCAGCCCTGACTGATGTGGACAACCTCCGGCGTGGGCTGGGGGGTGTTCACCTTGGTCACACTTTGTCTTTCTTGTATCCTCTCTGGGCCAGGGCTTTGTAGCACAAAGCCTCTCCTCCTAATGAGGGGAGTTCTGTGCGATCAGTTTGAATTCAAGATGACAGCTGTAACAGACTTCAGTTCCAAAGTCTGACTTGGTATTCATTTATTTTTGTGCATGCATGCATGTGTGTGAATGATCTCATATATTATTTTGATGTTTTACTATTCAGTTACTTATGATACCTCTTGTTAGTGTCCCATTGAAAACAGTGAGTATCTTGGTTGGCTAGTGTTCTTGGTGGTGGTGGGTGGCAAAGGGGGCCCCCTTGCCTGTGCAGTGGGCCCCATAAGTGGATCAAAGCCTCAGCTCCTCCCGATGTCATTCAGGTGCCTCAAAATCTCGCCCTACGTCCATGTCAGTGTGGTCTCCTTGGCCTACTCCTTGTCCCCCATCCTGTGGTCCAGCCACCTTCCCTGCTCCTGCTGCCCTTGGAGTGACACACTGCTATGCCTCCACACCTTGGCTCATGTCTTTTCCTCTATCGGAATGCCTTTTCCTCTCTTCTCTGCTGCGAGAATTCTCCTGACACATCAAGGCCTAGAGCAAATGTTTGCTCTGAGCAGCGAGGCCCTTTTATCCTCTGTCCCCTCCATGACGCTCTCTCCTATAGCATCATTCTCAGGGCTGGTTTAGCCTCTCACCTGTACAGTAGCTTCTGGGTGCTTCTGGCTCTGAGCTGGGCTCTGCACTTGGTTGAGGCTGGGACCCACTACTTCATTCATGAGTCTAGCACAGGGCCTGGCCATATTGATGTCACCAATGTCTACTGGCACAAAAGCATCATGGAGAGTTGGCCTCGGGTTTTAGACCCATCAGATCAAGAGGCCCCAAGAACCCACTGTGGTAGAAAGATGGAGAAACCTCAGAGAGTACTGCCCTCCCCCTTGCGGGCTTTCCCTTTAAAAAAAAATATTGCAGCAGGTGGAATTCCTTTCCCAGTGCCCTTAAAAATGGTAATTAGGCTGGAAGGCCAGAGTGCTCCAATTCTGTGCATGCACAGGCTCATTTTAGCGAATTCTCTGGAGATGGAGAAGGGGAAATGTTATTTTGTTTGTTTTGTTTTTCTTAACATGGTGGCAGAGGCACTTGGGAAGTCGACAAGATCCCCAGTGTCTTCAGGGGCTCAGCTTACCTCACCCCAAGTTGTGCCCCTGCACAGTAGTCGCGCCCCACCACCCCTTCAGGTGCCCTTACAGCTGTACAACCTGGCAGAGCTGCCTTGCCTTGATTGGCTGAGGTGCCCAGACAGTTCCTAGAATGGAATCCACCCCTCCTTCCCTCTTTCCCTCCCACACTTTTTGTCTCTGGCCCCACTACTCCCCTCTCATTCACTCATTCTGACAAAAGACATTTAACAAGTGCTTACTCTACGTTCGGAGAGGCAGGAGAAACTGACCTGGCCACAGATTCTGGCCCTGCCTTCAGCCAGGGCATGGTGGGTGGGGAGGTATTCAACCCTGTCCTCAGTGAATCTTCCCTCAGTCTGAAGCTGAATGTGCAGGAGACCCTGAGGGGCTGGCATGAGGACCTGGGTGTGTGGCACTGGGTTCCACAGACCTCTCAAGACGTTTTGTCCACCTGGCAGGCCCTGTGAGATGCCTCAGGAGAGCAGGTCTTCTGCCTCCTCCTGCCTCACACTTACCTTCTCACCCCCAAACTCACACACACACATACACACACATGTTCTCATGACACATGTACTCTCTGGCCTCTCACCACCCTGCCCATCACCCAATCTAAATCCACTCACTTGAAGAAGTTAAAAAAAAAAAAAAAAAAAAAAAAAACAGTCACAGCCAGATCAGATTCCTGTCTGCAGTGGTTCTCTTATAAGTAACTACTTTCAAAATTCAGTATAGAGAAAAACCTTCCAGTATGTGTATTGTGATGAGACTTGGCTGTCTTTGGGGCCAGCCCCGCTTCCCCTTCCGCAGCCGGAATGAAACATACCTGCAAGCCTTGTCTGTGAGCCACCTTTATGAAACCTGCACTCATGCCGTCATGGAAGGGTTCAGCCTCTGTGGGTGGCTTCCGGAGATGGAGGGGGAGGATTTGGTAGCAGCACTCTTCTGGGGTCTCTCATGGGCCTTCTCTTCCCTGAGCTGCCTGTTAGCATTACCTTTTGGGGGATGGCTGGGAGATTCATGGGCTGGCTCGGGCGCTAGCCTGCTTAAAGCCTCAGTGGTGATTGTGATACACTCAGAGCCCACTGGCTCATTCTTGGGCCTCACCATGGCACAAGTTAGAAAACCACTGACCTAATGAGCTATCCCTGGGAGCAGGTCCCTGGCCTGCCAGAGCTCACCCAGCTGCTCTCAGGAGGACAGAGAGTGGAGGAGCATTTCTGGAGACCTGTGAAGCTTTGCCTACGCTGGGTCCCTCCCTGGGTCCCATGGAGCCACTGGGAACAGAGCGGCTTCCTCCTTGCCCTCCCAGGCCAAGGGGTTGCCTGAGATGCTCTGGCCTTACAGGTGATCCTCACTGTATTCCTGCTGCTCTGCCCTGAGGCTTTCCTCTCTTTCCTCCTGGGGCTGTCTCAACAAATTGTCGCCGAGTACCTTAAAACAACAGAAATTATTTTCTCACCATTCTGGAGGCAGAAGTCCAAAATCAAGGCGCAGAGGGCCTTGTTGTCTGAAGGCGCTGGGAAAGAATCCTTCCCCAGCTTTCAGTGCCTCCGGGCCTTCCTTGGCTTGTGGCTGCTTCACTCTACTTCCACCTGTGTTCAGCATTGAATTGAAGGGCCCACCCTAAATTCAGGATGAGTTTTCATCTCAAGATCCTTAACTAATCACATCTTCAAAACTGCAGTTTCTCAAATAAGTTCATATTCTGAAGTTCCAAGTGAACATAAATTTGGGGATGGATACCCTTCAACTCACACCAAAATCCTGGCACATGCCAGTCTGATCCCAGTGGGGACTGGACCTTCTGGCCGGTTCCTCAGCTTGGACACCTCACTGCGCCTCCCAGCATGGCCCCCGGCAGGCTCCCAGCCCCTCTGGCCCTTCACATGCCTCCCGTCCAGCATCTCGATTTGGTGAGGCCATTTCCCTCAGAGTCGTATCTTGGCAGCATGTCTTTTTATTATCACAAGATATGTCCAGATGATTTCTTAGTGTAACATTTGTAAGCTGATTTAATGAAATAAATACGAGTGTTTCCTGGGGCCTGGCCATTGTGTCTGCAGGCCACTTATCTGGCTGCTCCGCCCATAAACCAGCACCTGCCACTCCCCAGTGATCTTGCGCTTCTGAGAGGAGCTGAGCTTCACAGGCAGCACATCCCAGCTGCTTAGGGAAGGGCACACATGACAGGTCACGGCGCGTGGAAGGCTGTGCTTCATCTAACATGGTGTTTGGTACTCTGCCATCTCTTTCCAGGGCAGCACCTTCTCAGGTGGCCCAGGGAGTTGCCAGCCTTGGGCAGCATGACCTTAATGAACAGAGACCCGGGGCTAAAAAGCCCCCACACTCTGCCTTTGCTGGTGTGGGTGTGGTGAGGCCCCATGAGAAAGACAGACCTGAGCGGGGGTCAAGTCAGAAGC